GGGGGGGGGGGGGGGGGGGGGGGGGGGGGGGGGGGGGGGGGGGGGGGGGGTCCTTCACGAGTCGAGTCTATTGACTACGATACGGTAAATATGTAACTTACGGTACGGATGTCCGGTAATGGGAGGCCACTCGAGCTTGTTCTCTGCGTTGGATTTACGCCAGTAGTTTCGAAATGGTTGATTATTCTCACGTTGCTGGTCACAAAGTATCAATATCCCCTCTGAATGCGTCCGAAGGCCGCCATAGACCCAACGGTACTGACGACCGGCTTATCGTCTGACACTCACTGAGCCACGGCTGTCTTCGAGTCAGAAATGCTTCCCTGTGATCGCTGGATCTGCAACAAGAGAGACGGCCTCACCTTCGAAACAGAGTCAGTAGATTCTCCAATTCGGGCCGTGTCTCTGGGAGTGGGTTAGAACCATTGGAAGCTCGATCGATGCGGTCACGCGCTTTTTCGTTTGTAATTTGACTTGGTTCGATCTTTGACACCAGGTGTTCGGGTCACAGGAATACTTTACCCTACAAAATACTATCGTGATTTTTTGCCTCTTGAGCCGCCTGGTTCGCGGAAGACCCCGAATTACCCGGCTGTCTATTTGATCTTCAAGAGATTTTCAGTTTTCATGAAGGTGTCTACGAACCCACGTGCCGTTCTGATTTGGTGATTTATTGGATTGGAGCAACGATTTGATTGTTTTCCAGGAAGGCGCTAAAAACGAGCAACGGCGATTCCAATAAAAATCATCTTCGATCGAAAGCTGGTCACAGACGAATCATGCACAAAATCGCGAAGGTCGAATTTCTTTTTTTTTCTTCATTTTTGTCATCCCCTTTCAACCGCCACTGACGCTTTCTACGAACTCCTTTGGCCTCTTCTCTGAATAGAACTCCGTCTCGGGGTCGCTAAAAAAAAAAACCCTCTCTACAGGGCGTTCCCGGTTCACCACCTATTTCATTCCTGTGAAGGCTTCAGCCGTCCTACCCTCAAGGTCTACTAGCGAACACGCGCTCCACTGCTGTAGCGACAAATAAAGGCGGACACAGGGACATAACGAAACACCACGAGAAAACAACAGAACGCGCCACGCAATTCGTTTCTGAGAGACACGATCAACCAAACCCCGAATACGAAAATAGTACCGTCACTATTCACACTATCACTACGTAACGCAATCATCCAAAGGGTGTAACTCTGTTAGCGAGTCTGGGGAGTTGGCGTGCCCCGACATACCCCTTTCTCGCCTGCAGAGCCCCCCTCGCCAGTCATTCTAGACCCTCCTCTGCTCTCTTGTTTTCTGGATTGAAAACCAACACCCCTTTTCTATGATGCCGAGTAGGCGGGCGCTGTGCCCATTCGTAGCAAAAATACATGAACATGAACAGAGCGTGACCAAGAACACAGACTGGCAGAACGCTATTGAGACTTGAATACTTCGGGATGCCGAAACATCCGTGTGGAGCGGTTGAGACTGGTGGTCTCTTGCGCACGTGCGCACCCAAGCCCCCCCAGCCCCCACCATCCCGTGTGACGAGAATTGCACCACATTTCCGGCGAAAACATTTCAAACGCGCTGCATCCATCCCTTAAGCGTGCCTGACATAAACGGTTATCGGCCTTGCAACCCGAAGCCCCATGACGCTCCCTCACGGGGTCCCAGACCGTGGCCTGTAGAAGCATTGTGTGTTTTGCACCGCACTGAGACTGACGCATTTTCATTGGTCAGCCGGTTATCACGGTCGATGTTAATAAAAATGACACACACACAAGCCGGTTCGCGCGGTCAACGCAAATAATAAAAACACACGCAATCAACACACCAGCAGCATCTACGGCGACAACACTGGACTGCGCTACACATACCGGTTATTGGCGACACAAGGTAGGGAAAGAACGTGCACATCACATCAGCAGATCCGGCGGGCCTTGCAAGAAGGCCACACCCGTGATCCAAGGCCTTTTATGTTCCCACAGGCGTATGCATCCATCCCCTCTACTTCTACTTACATGTGCAAATGCCCACCCCAGATCGAAAGAACCGCGCCATACCAAACCATTCACTACAATGACCACCCAGACGGAACAAATGGCGCCCTACAAGTGTAACATATCCAACAACAGTCAGTCACACACGCTTACAACAGTCAGTTACACGCGCTTAACACTGTGCACGCCTTGCACTTTGACTAGGTTCCCATGGCACTGCAGACAAGCAACGGAAATGATTCTCCTGCCCGGCCTATTGGAAGCTAGAGCGTCCCTCAGATTTCTTTGTGGCTTGCAGCGCCACCGCCGTTGGCCATTCCGCGGCACGGCTCTCCTAAGCTCAGGTCCTTGGCTGTCAATAGCGCCGACGTAGCTCTCGCGATCAGCACGCGAGCGATCCACAAGACCAGCAGGGCCGCAACCTCTAAGACGACCAGACCGATCACGGCAGCCACCAAAACAGGCCACGTCTCCTCGTCCGCGGTCTCATCCGCGTTCTCCCACCACTGCAGCCTCCAGACAAGGTACGCCGTCACCACCACCTCGGTGAGCGCCGAAGCAAGCCATGTCAACGAGTTCCCTAACACGCCGAGGTACCTGAACCGACCGGGGGCGGAGAAGTAGAACACGATCTCGGCCAGCGTGCCTCCGAATGTCACGACAAGAACGCCATACAGCATGATGTTCAGGAATTTGTACTGGTTCTCGCTAACCTCCGTCTCGAGAATGCCACCCGGCAGAAACCGCAGCAGGCACCAGATCGAAAAAAGACCAACGCCCTCGAGCACCGATGCTACGACCACCAGACCTCTCACGGACAGAGGATTTCTCCAGCGCTTGTAGCCCACGTACGCCTCCACGAGCTCGAGGCTCAGCGAGACCACAAGCAACGCGATCGTGATGTCCCCGAAACCTTCCGGGCTCAGCGGCCTGCAGTCGTCTTGATACTCGAGCTCTGAGCTGTCTAGGAGCCAATCGTACGTGGTACCGTACTCTTCCTGCAGGTCCGAGGTCAGCGCAATCACGGGCACCGCGACGCACAAGCCTTCGATTTCGTCGCGGGTGGAGCTTGCGGATGTCCAGGTGCAACCAGTGCTAACCCTGTCGTACCTCGCGCAATCGCACAGCTGGTCGATGGGCGGGTCCTCAAGGCCACTGCAGCTGGTGAAGGTGCTCACGGTTCGGTCCTCGTCGAACCAAACCACCGAACTATCCAGCTGTTCGCAGTTTGAAGGCAATCGATCGTTGTGGTATAAGGAAAGGGCTCGTACTCCGCAGTCCGCTTCGTCGAAGACCCCAGACGCTATTGCCTGCGCCAAGGTCCAAAACGTTGCTCCAATCTCCAAGAACAACCCCAGAGACAGGAACGCCGCGGCGTGCTTCATCCCCCTAATGGCTTGCTTCTTGAGACAAGCAGCCCGATGATTTCGCTTACCCTCGGAGACGGTGCCGGTCGCAGCCGTGCCATCTGCGTCGAAATCCGGCTGGGATGCTGCCGTCGGAACAGAAAGAAGAAAGCAGGAGGGATGTTCACCCGGTTCAAGCAAACGCATGATTGTTAGAGATGAGAGACACACACAAACAGCAGGGAGCAACGTTCGACGCATTTTCTCCTGCAAATAATCATGTTCTTCCACCTTGATCAAGTAGAGTTCACCGCTCGAGCCATGTCAAACGGTCCATCCGTCCCAGTGTTCACAGAAATACCTTCCAAATATCTCGGGTGGGGGCGGGCACTACAAATCCGACGACACAAACCGGCTGTGCACGACAAATAATAGGGTATGCTGCGAACGTCTGTTGCGAAAAACCGACTTTACGATTCTCGATAGACCACGCACAGATTAATACCTCTTGAAAGTCTTCACGCAGAGTTTTTTTTCCAGTTATCAACACTCGTAGCCCGATGACATCGAACACTGTCCAGAACAGCCTCTTGAAAGTCTTCAAACAGAGTTTTTTTTCCAGTTATCAACACTCGTAGCCCGATGACATCGAACACTGTCCAGAACAGCCTCTTGAAAGTCTTCAAACAGAGTTTTTTTTCCAGTTATCAACACTCGTAGCCCGATGACATCGAACACTGTCCAGAACAGCCTCTTGAAAGTCTTCAAACAGAGTTTTTTTTCCAGTTATCAACACTCGTAGCCCGATGACATCGAACACTGTCCAGAACAGAGATTGATCTTCACGTTCATCCCCAATTTTTCGACCCAAGACTCAAACATCATGGAAATGTTATCTAGCGTGGGACGAATAAAGTGTTACGCAGACCTCATATTTGTGATGCCTGGGTGCCACCGTCACAGCACGTGTTCAGAGAGAGTTGTGCTCGACGGAAAATACTGCAAGAAGAGTAACCTCGAAAACCCAGCCCTCCTTCGAGAAGGTCGGCGTCGGCCGTGTTCTCCGCAACGGGGTACCAAAGCACAAGGCAGTAATCGAATGCGGCCGGCAACAAGTCTGGCTATGATGATCGCCGGGGCGGCAGCAACTATACAAGGGAATACCCTCGTACAATCTATCATCAGTGACAAACCGCTCACGACGGAGAGTGCTCCTTCCCGTTTTGATGCGCTCAACCGAAAAATCCTACACCACACTGACTGCTGCGGACTCAGACTACCGGGGTGGTGCATGGTGTGCTTAGGTGCTACAGAATGTTCCGGCTCATTAAGAATCCTTCATGACCAGCATTATTCTGCAAATTTCATCGAAACTTCGCTGCCTCTCAAGGATGATTTAAAGTACATGTACGTACTGTTGCTGTAAGTCACGTCGCACTTGGAGGACTGGCCGACCGGCCACTTGTTGATTTGATTTCAGTTCCGTTGTGCTCTTGTATTGCGATGGGAATTCGACGAGTATCTTCGCGTTGTCTGTCTGAAGCATTCCAATTTTTTAGCGGTTGATAAAGTCGAGGGCGCACACTGCGGCACGCGGCACGCTCGCTCACCGAGCACGACAAAGAGTTCTGTACACAAGAGTCGATGACGTAAGATATCACACCCGCCCCCTGAACAATTAATATTTTTCAAAGCTTGATTACTCCACGGCAGAAAGCATGGCCGGGCGGCGTTGAAACCGATAGCTCTCCAAAAACAACCGTATCGTTTGACATCCTCGTCGTCGTGACCTAACATTATAAGCTGTGAATATATTGAATCGATGAAGGGGATGTGATATGTTAAGTCACCTACTGCAGGTACATTGCGAACAAGTTGCACCCTCCAACTCCAGTTAAGTCGGTTGAATTGAAACCTGTCATGGAACAACAACAACAACAACACTACCACCCCATCCATGAAGAAGTCACTTTATTCGATAGGCCCTTCCTCCGTAACTTTTGGCATTATGGGGCTAAGGGAGCATAAGCAAGCGCATATTCCAGAGAGAGCATATGCTGGGGCATGTCGTAGCAGAAAGGAGCGTATGTGTCCACAGTTCTAGCATATTCGTCTCTTGGACGCTTCAGGCCTCAAATATATGGTCGGTCAGACGTGATTTCAGGCTCGCTGCTACCTCTCCGGGGTTGAATCGATTGCGCATGGCTTATGTTTGGAGCTGCTTTGACTAAACCTAACCCTAACCCTAACCGATTTGAAACAACAAGAATGGTATGTAAAAAAAAACGCGCGCGAACTAAACCTAACCCTAATTTCCATATCCCTAACACTAGAGTAAGTGTGGGTATTAAGGACGACCCCCCCATTAGGGACCACTTTCTTTACAAAAACATATCTTGCCGATACCATCGCGGAAAGCCTTTCTGTTTTTTTCTTCGTGTTGCTATGGACCTCACCTTTCATTTAAGCCTAAGCTTACTCAATTTGGTGGAGGACTTCGTTCTGCACAGCATTCTGCGCCAGGTGTTGTATGCTTTGTTTTTTTTGGTGCTGTGTGGTGGCTCCGGCTAAGGCAGGTCATAATATTGACCTATTTATTAGCAGTTTTCCGTGGATTCGCAGGTCACTATATGTCTAATGTTTTGTTGCTCTCCATAGACCCGGTACGAGGCAGGTTCGAACCTGGGGTCGTGCATTTTGTTTTATCATCCGCTTTTTTCCTTCTTTTTTTTTCTATTTTGCCCCCTCGATTTTCGTCCAAATGGGGGCAAAAATCGCGTCTGTATGTCAGATACTGTAGAGACCAAACCAACCTGGATGACAACAAAAAATTGAATGGTGTCTATTCTAGGGTTGCTTGCCACGATGCCGAAAAAACGGGCAAAACACTTCAAGTCGCTTTGAGTGCTGACCAAAGTAGGCCATTTTTGGCCCAAAAACAGGCAACAAAACACGGGGATTTCTTGTTTTTGTCCCCGAGCATGCATGTTTTTTAAATATTTTTTTCGGAAATGCTTTGTATTACAACCATAACGATACTTTCCAAAGGAAAAATTCTTGAAATCATTACAACGTGCGCAATCACTAAGAATTCGAAGTGGTCCTTAATCGGGGCATTTATTTGTGATTTACCGGTATTTTTCCCTAACAAATGAAGAATACTACGCTGGCACCATGTCATCACCACATGCATTTTTTTTGTTTTTTGTTGTTTCATCGTTTAGGTCGTGTTATAAGCTAACGTTCGATACCTCTCTGTCGCCACAAATCGTCAAGACACCCGAGAACGACCTCTCAGAGCGGGGGCTCCGTTACGTGGTCCTTAATCGGCACATTTACTCTAAATCATACGCACAAACCACAATCGGGAGCATCAAAAGACATTTTGAGCATATCCTCCCTCAGAATTAGTAGGGGGCAGGAGAAAAAAAAAGAAGCACATGCTCATGGCAAAAAAATATTAAAAAAAAACATAATGGGGACAGGTCTATTATTCGAGCGAAGCGAGATTTCTAATTTGGACTGCCGGCCCCGCGGGTTGACACGGCTGGCTGAAACCCAAAAAACTTGTGTGTCTGTACGCGCTTTATCTAGGTTTTACATTAAGACTACGTTTCTTTTAGACTACAGGGGTGCGCAGACGCACGTTTTTTTTTTTCGGAGGACACAGCGGATTGCAGCAGAGAACACACACACTGCGGGCGACACCACACAGCAGGCAACACACGCACAGCAGACAGCGTATTCATAACAGGCGACACACACGCACAGCGGGGGACAGCATCTGGGCTCGATGCCGCTGGACTCTCTGTGGTTTGATGAGGCTGGCTATGGATTGTGCTGTCGCGCATGATTTCTTTTGACCGCCGCGTTCAACTGTCAGCACTTTGAGCACAGCAGCACCACATTGGTTCTCGAAATCTAGGACGCCGATTGCCATCGCACCACTTCGAGCTTGTGATCCATTGTGGTGTCTCTGGGCGTGATAGTTGTGTTGGGCATGGGTGCCGTATGTGGCGAGAGCATCATGGCGATGTGAAATCCGGTTTGGCCTTTTCGCCTTGCGATGCGGCCCGATTGCCCGGGCCAAAAACACGATTTGGATTCCACGCCGCCACGAAGGTCTTCCCACACACACAGCACCCATGCCTAACACAACTGTCACGCCCCGAGATATCGCAATGTAGCACACGCTCGAAGTGGTGCCATGACGATAGGTGCGCTAGGTGACGAGAACTGACTTGTGTCGTGTTGTTTCGCTGGCAGTTGGCAAAACACCGAACAGAAACGAGGGGGCAGGGGGTTCAGCAATAGTATGACGGGCTTACTTTTGTTTATATTCATTATTAATTATTATTAATATTTTTAATATTAATAATTAATAGTATTATGATTACTATTTTTTTTTATTATTTTGTCTTCATTTCACTTCAAATCAGCCCTCACGGCAATAGTGCCGTTTACTCCAACCCGTGGTTATACAGAAGAGCCCCGCCCTACCCTCCCCTCCTGCGGTACTTTGCCTTCGATATTAAATGCAAGAGTTCAGCACTCTCTTCCCTCTGTGTACACACGAACTAGCGCCATCCACTAGGCCAGGAGCGGAACGAGAGGAAAACTTACTTCGTAAGACAAGCTCGCTTACGCCGGATTCGAACCCCTGACCTGACCGCTACAAGGTTTCGAGGTTACTAACTAGACTACCGGGGCGACCTGTATGTATGACCACGAAAGCGGGATGTGGACGGGGGAGGGGGTAACCGGAAGGTGAAACGTTACCTATTAGACTAATAGACCTCTCACACCGGCGCACAGCAGGTGTAGTATCAAGTCTGTGGTGTTTGCACTCTGTTTCTGCCCGTGGATGCACACGTCTGACGACGGTTACATCTATCAGCTGTCGCTCGTGGTGGCGACAGCTAGTATATCTTACACCACACATTTACAATTAGTCTATCTATCATAACACGAAAAGGCGAAATCAACCACTAGAAGATATCCAGCAAGTTCTGCAAAAAATATTCATGGGCGAACCCAGCAGTACCAGTTGATGTTTTGTGCACAAAAAAAACCGTGCGTTCTGTTCTCTCTACGCAGTACCTTCTTCGGCTGTCCGTACTTGAGGCATCATGAGATTTGGACTGCTGCTGTAGCCGAGGTTGTTGTTATTAGTCTAGTCGGCAGGGAAGCAATCTTCGGCGGACCGAACCCTCTTTTTTAACTCCTGTCCAACTGCCGTTGCTTGGATGGCGAGACAATTTCCGGTCTTCATGTCCGTCACAGGAGGCGGAAGCTGATGCTCAAACTCGGGGAGGAGTCATGGTGTGCGACTCCCTACCGAACCATACTAACTCGGTGTACCACGTCATGACATGGCAAGAAAAACATCCCTCCAACGAAAACTGCTGAAATAACGGGTGGTGTGTAGGTGGAGGACCCCAAAACAGTGACACAGCAGTCGAGGTTGGTTCGCGTTGTTCTCGGGACCCCACCGGCTAAACACCACCGTCGCCGCTCTGAACCGGTGGAAGCTGTCACTCATATAGCACTGCATGCCACGAGCGTTTAAGGGCCATGTTCTTTGCCTGACGGGAAGAGGCCGCGCCCATCGCCTCACACGCAGCAGCCGGGTACACGGGCAGCCTCGTACTCAGCAAGAAGCAAAACGATTGCCGTTGACGTTCGATGTTTGTTTGTTGGGGGACCCCAACGGCGAAATGCGACAGGGGTCGAGAGAGAGGAAGAATAAAGGAAGAGAGATTCGAGAAGACACGGCATGAACTTTCGAGAAGGCACTCACTCTCATCCCTCTGACCCACCGCAGGCTTAAACACGTGTAACGACCGGCGACATCCGATGTGCGCTCAGCAACAAAGACACCACAATAGAAAAAAATCATCGATTGTTTCTGAACTGTGGAGATTTGCTTTCTTTTCTGGTATGAAGTGGCAAGAAGAACATGACTATCTGTGTAGACTAGAAGCACGACAGACGGACAATTAATCTCAATGCGCTTGCCGTCGCGAAAGATGCGCACCGCTACCGCCACACGAACGACCAGGCTGTTGTCAAACCAAACAACCATAACCTTACGACCATTTCAGCGCGTTCCGAGCGTTAACAGCAGCAATCGCAGCAGCAGCAGCCGCATGTCTACAAGCCACAAAAAAAAAAAAACGGCCACTCAGAAACAAACGAACAAAAAAAAACTATGTGGTGCGCAGCACGCAGGACTCCCCTTCGCTGTTAAATCGGCCGTTGGAGCAAGCAACAGTCAAGGCCGACTCTTGCCGGCCGCAGGAGGCGGAAGCTGCTCAAACTTGGGGACGGCTCATGATTTGCGATTCCACATCAAACCATACTCGAGGCGGCACGAAATTTGCTCTGTCGCTCGAAATCAGCATTTTAGACCGGGTCGGGTAGGGGGTGGGGCATGCCCACTGAAATTTTCAGGGATATCGAACGATGAGACTGCGAAGGCAAAGCTTCAGAATTCCGAAACCTCCCTACCCGTCAACGCAGTCAACGGCATCAACGGATTCGAACTGATATTTTGTCGAAGAAAAACGAGCCAAGGTTTCCGGGAGAGAGACGCACAAGCAGCAGCAGTAGCCTATGATTTAGCTGCACTGCGATTCCGGTGGGAGCGTGCGGCAGAGGGAGGGCGAAGCAAGCAGGACAAAGTCTACACACACGTCTTGTGGCAAGGAAAAATGCAAATTGGGTGCACCTGCCCCCAGCCCCTCGGTGCTGGAGAGTCTGTTCCATTCTACCGGAATACGTTGACACCTCCTCGCCAGGACACAGCCCAGCCCCACTCACATTCAGCGCTCATGCTATCCTCGTAGTTCCGTGCGTGTGCAGCCCCAAGGTAAAGAGGGTGTGCGAGGGAGGGTGGAGAGGGCGAGAAGGGGTTGGTCCTTTCGTGTGTGTCATGCGTGCAACCTGCAAGCAATGTTCCTCGCACGTTCCTCGTTGTGCATCGCACCAATCGCCAAGCACACCGGCGGGGAGAGAACCGGTTCGAAATCCAAACCTCTAGTATTGTTGTTGTTGTTGTTGTTGTCTTCACATTAAACCGTATGTCAGTTGCGAAATGCCAAAATCTAGCAAAGACTCTCAGCCCGTCGTCACGAAAGTGCTAGAGCCATCTGAGGATCAAAGAACACGCACACATAAAACGAGAAAAAGGTATCCAAGAGCCCGAAGAGGTACACCTAAAAATCCCTGCAGCACCGTATGCGTGCCCAAAAACTGAACTGCACGTCCGTCCCACCGTTCGACTACAGCAGTAGCATCACCCCCTCCCNATCACCCGAATCTCTCCCGATCGTCTGTAGTGGCACTGCAGTGAAAAATGTCGACACTAGCTAAGAATCGTTCCACATTGAAGAGGTCTTCCACGATCAGGCACTAAACCAAGGCACCCGGGTTAGCCATATTGCGAATCGAAAAAAAATAGACGAAGTGCGAACTTCGAAGTTCACAGGCTTAGAGCTTTTAGACATAAATCTTGAGCCACTCGACCTGCTCCGTCCGTACACGCTCTCGTTGCTGTCCTTCCTAGTCGGTTCCTCGCTTTCTCCCTCGTTGCACTCAAGGTTCTTGGTCTGAAAAATGAAAATTCTCGCGCCGAAGGGGTCAACCAGCCCAGTTCAGCTCGTCGCCACCTGCTCCCTCCTCCTTTGATGGCGAAGCCAGGTTACTGAGGCAATACAGCTCCCTCTAGCCAACCTAGGGCCGTGTACATAGTGCCCGTCCACCTTCTGACGGTGTCTGCCTCCGCGCACAAAAAATGAGATGGGCATCGCTGCCTACGCCGACGGCCAGAGGCCCGCGCATCTACATTTTTTCGCCTGACCCCATCAGTGCCGACCCAACTACACCACCACGCGCATGCCTCGCGGCGGATATGCGCAGCAGCAAGAAGGTTTCGGTCATCCCTTGAGGGTGAGTCTAGCCCTGCTCGCCAGAAAGACCCCCCCCTTCACTACAACCCATGTCTAAGCAAAAGCTTGTCGAGGAGCGAGGGGAAGAAGGGAGATCATTGCAATTGACAATCGCCCGAATCTATCCAGATCATCTGTGTTAGGCACGGCAGTGTAAACATCGACACTGGCTAGGAATAATTCCACATTGAAGGGGTCTTCCACGATGCAGGTACACATATAAGGCACCCGGGTTATCCGCGCCATCTCTGCCGCGTCTCTCTAAAAAACTAGTGACGTCATCACACACACCCAACACCTGTATTCAGGAAAAAAACGGGAAATTAGGGTACATGCGGTTGAAGGACGGACCGCTACGGAAAAGGGTGAGCGACATTCATCATTTTCAGCCCATGCGGAGGTCAGAGATATCGTGGCCCATAAATAAATTGTCACTAAGGGATGACCAAAAGTTGTGCTTCAATAGCAAGTGTGGTCCGTCCTGCGTAACCCACACTGGATTAATAGTGTAACTACAAACCTCATCTAGCCCAAGCTCCTACCTCCTCCTGTCGCGCTCTCTCCATACGAAGGGCTTGCTCCATGAGCTCGCGCTTCGACCTGTTCAACACCTGCAAGAGCTGACGAGCTGTCGCGATAAAGCACCATAGCCCCGTCTGAACGTTGAAGTACGCGCCAGAGGCAAAAGACAGACAATATCGATCGTTAACGATTGATTCGTTGGTGCCCGGTACTTGTTGGTATTCACATTCAAAAGAACGAAAAGTAGAGAGCGAGCAGTACTTCAACACGATACAACATTTTCTGAGCCGTACATCACGTGAGAACTGCCTGTAACGTTCAGAATTCATTGACGTTGTGAGGACTTCGCTCGAGATTGAAAGAACAACCGAACATGCAACCCAGCGCAAGAGGCGTCCATCAGTTGGAATGAACAAGCGCAGACTGTACGCACGGCAAACAACACATTACACTGTGTCCTGCAATGTGACTTTAATCTTACTTGGGGGTGGAGGTACCGTGATAACAATCTACTTCGTTGGGACATTCATCAAGTCGGGCATAATTGCGTCAGGGATATTTACGAAGATTCTTGATCCACGCGGCAAAAGAGTGCTTGTTGTCCAACGCTGTCACGGAGCGAAGCGAGGCGCTCTTCGTTCTGAAAAGAGTCGCGGAGCGGGGAGCTCGATTTATCCGACGGCAACATCTGAACGAGGGGCGGAGTGATTGTTTTTCGCTTGGAAACGTCAAGCAGAGGAGCGAAACATCCTGTCGCGCTGCTGGTACTTATACGGAGCGTTCACGCTTTTCACTGCGGCGTGTAAGCCATTCGAGACCACGGTCATGGCGATGGTGCACCGTCAGAGACGAAAAAGGAAAAACAGAACAATGTAGACATCCGTACCAATGGACGTAGCACTTAAAGTTCGTGAAGTACTTTGGGTTGATCGAGCATCGAGTCGTGTGCACGGTGTACTGTGCGGGGATGTGCAGGGACACCATCGTTGAAACGCCGCCGCCTGCACAACCCATCAAACACACAACGCTATGATCGTACGCATAGAAATAATTGTCATCACGGCTTGCTCTCACAGACGAAGCAAATTTTATTTTTTCTTACATCGACATTCTCCTCCAACCATCCACACGCTTGCTTGTGCAACCGCACAAAGGCAGTGGAATGCCTCGCTTGCTTCCACTGTTCGTACTTCTAGCACCAACGATTTTGTTAGCCCCGTGCAATCATGTAGGCATCTTCGGTACAGTCAACAAATTCGAGGTCTACGCCAACTTGCTCCAACACACGAGCAGCTTGTACACATTTACAGATGTAGCCTGTTCAATAGACTGGGCTGCAGGAAATTTTCCCGACATACATACATGTGGTCCAACCTAAAAATCCGGATGTATAGTGAGCTCGGCCCAAGGAATGGTGTCATTCTCTGCCGAAAGTTGTGGCACATGATACCCGATGCCGGATTGATGTTTCTCTAATGGCAGCTGTGCTGTCAACGCCAGGGGAGTATGGTTTGCGCCAACACCGTAGAAAATCACCGTGAATCCGCGACGAAACACACTTAATTCCACGAAAAAAAAACTCGCGGGTTCGACGGCTGATTCTGTCACGGAGAGCAACCCGGAGTTGAGCAACCCGCATCGTAGTGTTTCTCAAACGGCAACGGAAAACCATACGAGGACAGTAAATGCCGGTACGACCTGACGTATTACCACAGCAGCATGGCACATGTCGGTACCAAACAGCGGCCGATTCGTTGAGACGGCAAGGCTATCCACCATACATGGTGCCATGCTAACCCGCCTGGTGACAAGCGAATTGTCGGCGAGCTGTCGAGCGAACGTCTCCCCGACGGACTCGACGTACGCCATATCTCACTCTGTGTGAGACAAAGCAGCGAAATGGGTCGCTTGATTGGTTCCGCATCGTGTCGTTGTAAGACTGGATCGTGACAATAGATATCACACCCAAAATAGTGTCAAGGTAGGTGCAGTGCAAGACCGTAAGGTTTTGCGATCGTAATGTTTCGGAATTCTCTCGAATTCCGGATGAGTCGCCGAAGGGAGCGATCAAAAAGTAAGGTTGTACGGTTAAGGTCACATTTCCGTGCGGGTAAAATAGTAGTCATACAGGCGCAGGACAACTTCTGGCAAGGCCCTTCGGGCTGAGGGTTGATTACCTGCCACCGCGACTTCGGGACTTTCGTTGCTGTCTTAAATTTACTGACGGTGATGCGATTTCGTGGCAACACCGAAACGATGATGAGAAGGAGTTCACCTCCGTGCCACGCGTCGCCAACTTCGAGCGGTTACGGCAAGCAAAATGGTGTTCGCCAATAAATATTCAACGATTGGGGGCTGCATGAGATCTACGCACCCATTTTACAATGCCACATCGTTTGTTACTTTTTGGAACATCCAACGTATCAACATGTATGTATGTGTCACCGAAGTTCGGCACACTAATAGACTATTTCGCACATGGCATCCATCGGTGGCTAAGTCGTGAGACATCGTATCTTTGTGGAACTTGCGTGTTCTTTTTTTCTTTTTTTCCTTCATGATGTGTAGAAGCGCTTGTTCGTGAGTACGCTTACAGCTTGCGAGAAGGCATTTCTTGAAGCCTTCACGAACTACAACCTGAAAGGAGTCGCGAACCGCAGAGGATGTCTTCCTTGTGATTTGGATCAGAGCGCTTCAGGTAGAGATTATCGCGAGACAAAGACAAAATACTTCTGAAGTATTTTTTCAACACCCGGTTGCAGTCTCATGCACCTATTTCGCTGTCTTGCCTCTCTAGCCGAAAAACTCCGATCCTGCTTACCTACACGGTGGAATTTCCTCGACAGCGGTTCTCACAAGGGTACGCACAACCAAGGACTTTCTTTCGCTCGCACTACCTGTGCGCTCAATTTAGGAACGAAACACAGGTACCGGAGACTTGAAAAGCAAACCTAGCCGACCTTCTCGACTTTCAATAACACCCCCGACGCTTGTGGCTGTGTTGCTGCTGTTGCTGTAGCTGTTGTGTTACTGCTGTTCTTGTTTTCTTCATATTTGGAAACCGTCCTGATCTCTGCTTAGTACCTTCTTAAGCTCGTGCTGGTCGAACTGACGTGGATTCCTTCCATAATCACACACCAACGAGAGAAGGCACCTTGTTTGTGTGTGTACTCGGTTGGATACGATTCTCCAAGATCTCCGGGGGTAACGCAGGAATGTATAATGGGTTTGATGGACTTGACGCGCTAGGCTCTGCTTTCCTGCCCATGTCTCTCACTCATTAAATTAAAGAACTTGAGTCAAACCATATTGCAGAAACGTTCTCGACAAGAGCCCGCGAGCGTGATCGCGCAATACAAGCGCCGACATCCTAAACACGATATCGTGGAGTCAGCTGACGTCGGTAGAGAAAGGTTTGGGAGGCGTTGTCATGTGTGCGGATTCCTTGATATTCCAAGCGGTGTGTACGGAAGGTCGTGTCAGCTTCATTAGAGCAGGTAGCGGCGGAGAGCCTAAAGCCGCAGGAGGTCCGAAAAGTGGTGGGGGAAGCGAGGCGACCGGGGAGCAGGCACTTGCGACGGGAGCGGCGGCAGCACCGGCAGTAGCACCGGCGGCGAGAGTACCGACCCACGGCCGCAGAGTCTTCCTCGTGGCGGTGGTGGGAGATAGCGGCAGGGGTGCAGGCATTCGCGCGGGAGTGGCGGCAGCGCCGGCTGCAGCACCGGCGGTGAGAGTAGCGACCCCCGGCAGCAGATTCTTCCCCGCCGTGGAAGTCGGGGGAAATCGGCCGGGGGAGAAGGCATTCGTGGCGGGAGTCGCGACATCGGTGGCAGCACCGACGGCGGCATCGGGGGCTTGTGCGATTAATACGAAGTAATGGATAGATTGGATTTTTTGGGGGGCAATAATGCAGCAGGGGGGCGTTAAGATATTGTGCTTTGGGAAAAAATAAAAGGGGGCCTGTTTAGACACATATTCAGCAGGGGTCATTTAAGAAACCCATGTTGTCTCGATGTTTGACAAAAGGCATAGTTGGTGAAAGTTTCCTCTGGGGTTATGTCATGCGCAGGATTTTTCAAACGCTCTCGACAAGAGCCCTCGAGCTTGATCACGCCGTACACGGGCCGACAGTCTCAACATACTTGACACATTCTATGATGATTGAATAGAAACCGAAGGACCCAGAGCAACTACAGCATACGTAAAACATACATTATCAATAACAAACAGCCGCCGAACCGTCAGACATCGCAACGGGCTTGGCATGTACACAAAAAAAGAGGTGGACAAAGGAGTTCGACAAGTAGAGCCCACAGTTCCCACTGGATACGGGAGTAAACTCGCGGGATTCATTCTTCATCTACCCCTACTTGTATCATAATCTACGGCGTCGTACCCCTTCCCACAATGTTGGACCCCCCCCCCCCCCCCCCCC